TTTTTTTTTTTTTTTTTTTGTTGTTGTTGTTGTTTTTTTTTTTGTTTTTTGTAGAGCGTTGCCGCCCGATCTCACTGCCACGGTAGCGCCTCCCAATCCCGCCCAGCTTCATGCACAGCTCTTCTCATCCATTTGTCGTTCCCTCCACGTTTGGCGCGCAGTGCGTAGGCGCCCTGCTGTCAATTCCCCTCCAATCTCGCTATCGCAATTGTGTCCAATTCCAAAAAAAAAATAAATAAATAAATCGTCTCCCAATTCGGAAGCTCTCTCCATTTCCAACTCTCTCTGGCTCCTGCTGGGGGCCCATCTCGCCGCCGCCTCTGCTCCGCCCGTCCCCGCCTCCGCTCCGCGCGTCCCCGCCGCCTCTCCGCCCGTCCCGCGCCGTCATTCGTCTCCGCGTGGATGTCGCGAGGTGCCCAGTGGTGAGTAGATGATGAATGCGGGGCAGCTCGCGCGCGACCCCCACGTGGGGACCACTGCCATCGTGGGACGGGCGGAGAGGCGGCGGGGGACGCGCGGAGCGCCGCCATTACAGTACTATCATCGTCCCCAATATAACGCGCCCTCATGATGAATGTATCAAGCCATAATTAGGGTGCGCTGTGTTCGGGGGAAGACGGTAATGTGATACTTAATTGCAGTAATTGGGGGGGGGGGGGGCACTTTTTGCTCTCCTCGTCCCGTTCTGGAAATTGATTGATCGGTCAATTGATTGATTACTGTAATAGAGTGATGATGAGGTTTCCGGTGCTCCTGGAGTGGTCGAGGCTGGCCTGTTATTCTGCACTGCACGCCGGAAAGTTATGTCGATTAAGTACTGTATTTCGTTTTCTGTGCGGTGTTTTTTTTTTTTTTAATTATAAATTTATTATTATTATTATTATTATTATTATTATTATTATTATTTGCGTAATTACTATTATATTTTGAAAAAAATTGGACCATTTCTGGATTTGTGCGTGTCATCCTTGCGCAGGGGCCATGGTAATCTGTCTTCTCTGTATCGTTCCAATCGTTTTAACGGATGTCTCGAAGAGACAGCTGGATTGATTGTTGTCGTCAATGCGGTTGTAAATTTTATTTTATTTTATTTTTCGGCAATCAGATCGTGTGATTGATCCAGCAATTGATTGATTGATTGGCTGATTGATGAATCGAGTGATTGGTAAAGTGATTGATCGGTCAATTGATTGATTGATCGGTAGAGGAGGTCGCGTCGGCGTGAGTTCCGCTCTCCTGTCTCGTTCTCCTTCCCCAGCTCTATCGCTCTCCTCTCCGCCTCTCCTCTCTCCGCGTTTCTCCCGGCTCTTCTCCGCGCGCTCTCCCCCGCCGCCCTCCTCTCTCCTTCTCTCCTCCCCCCGTGCCTCCGCTTTCCTCTTCCTCTCTCTTCTCTCTTCTCTCCGCCTCTTCCCTCTTCCATGATGCTTACGGACTGAGCCCTCGCCGCCCTCCTCTCTCGTTCTCTCCTCCATCCACTCCTCCGCCGCTCTCCGCTCTCCGCTCTCCGCTCTCCCCCGATAGACGGCAAAGAAGTTATTGCGACTTGACATCCTGATAGCAGGGGGAGGAGAACGAGAGAGGAGGGCGGTGGGGGAGAGCGCGCGAGAAGAGCGGGGAGAAAGGCGTTCAGAGGCGAGCAGGAAAGAAGAGCGGAGGAGCACAAGGGGAAGGATAACGAGAGAGGAGGTTGGGAGGGAAGAGCGCGGGGAGAAGAGCGGGGACGGGCGGAGGAACAAAGGGGGAGGGCGGTCGTGGGTGGGTGGGTGGTCATTACAGGATGACACGACCTCTCTCTCTCTCTCTCTCTCTCTCTCTTTCTTCAGTTGGAATGAACACGTTATTATCGATGTATCTAGACTAAAAGTTGGCCCGTATACGGAAAGAATGTGGGGGGAGCGCGGTCGTGGAAGGTGGTTGATTGCCTGGTCGCCGGAAAAGAAAGGGGTAAAAAACAAACGGAAGAAGTAAAACGGGTGATTACCTTAGACTACCGTCTTCACCCGAATAGAACGCCGGTCATTATCGCTGTATCTAGACTAAAAGTTGCCCCAAATACATTCGGGAGAAGATGGTAGGTACGTGGTTCAGTCCAAGGAGTAGAATGGAGAGAGAATGTCAGAAATCGAAAATGCCGAAGAAGGAAAACAGGGATTAAAAAAAAAAAAGGAGTCAGAAAAAATCGAAATGCGGAAAAAAAAATAAAAAATACGGGGACTTTTTTTTTTTTTTGGAAAGGGATATATGCCTTTGACAAGTTACCTTGGTTGGTCGTGAGGTATGTCTCGCAGGGGCGAGTCCCACTAGCAAAGCGAATTGGGTTTAACGCTTGAATCTGGACGTGTTTGTGCTGATAAGTGCAGAGAACCACGATTGCGCTGCTTTTGTGCATCTGTGCGAAAAAAACGTCCAGATTCAGGCGCTTCATCCAATCCTCTTTGCTAGTGGGAGCTTGCCCCTGATTTATCGTCGGCCGCCTTGGCTTCGTTTAGACAATAACCGTTTTTCTTTATCTTTTTTCCCCCCTTTCTGAAAAAAGAAAAAAAAGAAAAAAAAGAAAAAAAAGAAAAAAAAGAAAAAAAAAAAAAAAAAAAAAAAAAAAAAAAAAAAAAAAAAAAAAAAAAAAAAAAAAAAAAAAAAAAAAAAAAAAAAAAAAAAAAAAAAAAAAAAAAAAAAAAAAAAAAAAAAAAAAAAAAAAAAGGAAAAAAAGAAATGGCAGTCCATAACTCTTTTATCTTTTCCCGGCGTCAACGTTGATCAGATGTTTTTGAGAATTTGTAATTTTTTTGTTCTAATTATAAATAAACTATTATAAATGCAATTTTCGGACCCGTAACTTCAATCCGGGGCGAGGTCCCACTAGAAGAGAGGATTGGATTAAGCGCCGGAATCTGGACGTGTTATATGCAGAGATGCAGAAAAGCTAATTACTCGCGATGTTTCTGCACCTCTCCACAACCACGTCCAGATTCTTTCTAGCAGTAAATCCAATTTTCTGTGCGAGTGCGACCTCACCCCAGAGGACGACCACTCGTAATTTCAAAAGCATTCGGAGCAGGTTTTTATTTTCTTTTTCTTTTTTTTTTATTTTCTTTTTCTATTTTTTTTTTTTTTTTAAATCCTCTTTTTCCCCCCATATTACGTCGTGTCATATTCCCCTTCTTTTTTCGAGTTGCTCAAAGATCTGCACTTGCTATTCAAAAGGCGCGTTGTACATGTGTTAACCTACTGGAGAATTTCAGCGTATCTTATATGAATTATTTTAATTATTTTTAATTATTTTAATTAGTTAAAATTATTTAATTATTTAATTATTTTAATTATTGATTATTTAATTATTTTAATTATTTAATTATTTTAATTATTTAATTATTTTAATTATTTTAATTATGAATTATAATTATATGTAGCTCGGTGGTGGTGTGTCGATGGAGCAGGGCGTAGGGAGATGGATAGAGGCTGCCTGTCTTCCCCCGAATAGAAAGTACGGGCATTATGTCTGTATTTGGAGCAATTTTGAGTCTAGATACAGCGATAATGGCCGTGCATTTTAGTAGGGGAAACACGGGTGGGCACGATGCTGAGGAGGTTTTTTTTCACGCATTGGTTGTGCGGGGTTTACATGCATCCCCATACAGATAAGCATGTGTTGATATTTTATTTATTTATTTTAAATATGGACCATTTCTCTATGCATCCATACATATAAGCATGTATAGATACCGTTTTTATTTTATTTTATAAATAATCAATATGGACGATATCTCTATTTATGCGTGTCATCCTTGCGCAGGGGCTGTGCTGATCTTTTTTCTCTGTATCGTTCCAATCCTTTTAACGGATGCCCCGAAGTGGGCGGCCTTGTACGCAAGAGGTTCTGAAGAGGGGGAGTTGTAAGGAAGAAGATATAAAAGAACGAATTTTTTTTTTTTTTTTTTTTTTTCGCTTTTGCGCTCTCATATTCATGTGACGATATATAAAAACATGCTAAGTGTAAAAATAATATAATATTATTTATCGTTATGAAAAGAATTATATATTCTTATATATTAGCTATGCATCTTAAGATGTATGTATTTTACTATTTTTTGGAGGAATTAATAATTATATGTTTTTAAACGTCAATGACTAATTATCGCTTAGTGATATGGATCTACTTGGATCTTTATTTATTTGAAATTACTAATAATAAAATCATTTACGACGCAAAAAATACTACAATAATATAACTACTATTACGGTATTACCATCGCGATTTCTATAGTTCATTCCTGAAATATTCTCCAACGGATTTCTCCCTCCCCCAAACGAATATTGTTTATTGTTTACAAATTTTAAATATCAAATTTAAATAATATTATTTCAAATGCAAATTTCAAATCACTTGTTTCCCATCGCGGCGGTCTCGCATAGCGCGCCAAGTCCAAGCAAATAAGATTTCACTCACAACCAAGGGGATAGAGAACCTGCACACTATGATGTCTTTTTTTTGGCCCAAAAAAACAGACAAAAAAGAAAAAGGGAAAAGTGTGTATGGGGACAAAAAGGTACGCTTCCTTCGGTGATGCCAGGCGCTTCCATCCTCTCAAGCGTTTTCACTCTTTCTGTTCAAGCCGGAGGAAGGGAGGCGACCCATACGCCATAGCTTTTGCTATGGCTGATGTGCTATGTTGTTCATATCTGTTCATATCTGTTCTTTGGGAACTAGCTCAAGATTTTCGCATATGTT